ATTATATGCTATTCTTTATTTTGAACCATTTTATCAAAAGTCTCAGCTATGTCATTAATTTGTGGCATTGGATGCATCCAGATATTCAATTCTTTAAAAATAATAACTATTGTTTACAATGATAACATGGCTGATCCATTGTCAAAATAGATTGTACATATTCTGCTGATGTTGATTTACCCTTTCATACATGTTTATTGTATCTATGCCACAGAGATGTATAAAATTGAACTGCTTGGAGGTTTTCTTTTATTCATAGAAGGTAGGATGTATTCAACTAACCCACATGTTGTTTATAACTGACAATTGGCATTGTAGGATCAGACAGGTCAAGTTGACAAGAAAGTATCGTTGACACAGCCATCGCAAGTTACCACATCCACAACAACACTCATGTTACAATCAAATGCTGAGCCAATGAGAAATGGTGCTAAACCCGGAAAAGTAATAAAGTCTACTATGAAGACGGCATTTGATGATTTTCCCATTAATAAACCAACTGTGTCTGTATCGCCCACAGCGAATATTGAAAATGCTCAGGTAAGCGTAACTTCTGGTGAAGGCATCCGTAGTATTGTTTGCTTTCAATCTATGTCCTCTGTTAAAACACCCAATATGCTTTTATATGTCAACAGGATTATCAAAAACAGATTTTGTTTGGGCCAATTTGTTTTTTATTCTATACTGATTCGCACTATCGTATGAAATGCCTTAGCGTTACATGAAACAAAATGGCTCAAACACAACGCTCTAAACTTACTGATTTTGATAATGCAGTACTGTAATATTATTTCTTTCTATTAACCATATCTGTACAGACTGGGGTTGAAATCAAAGAAAGTGAAGTCACCAATCTCAAAGAAACCCAAAGTGACAGTGGAATAAGATTTGTATCAGATTCAGTCATGAACATAGGGTCAGGTTAGTATTGTCATTGAAAAAAAAATTTAATTCATTGCTAATTTTAATTATAACATTGTTTGAGGTGTATTAATGTGTTTTCTGTGTGTTCATAATATTAACACTACTTAGGTGAAGGTAAGCAGTTATATGTGACAATGTAATAATTAATTTAACATTTGTTAAATTTTAATGATTTATTCCCCTCATGTGTTAATTGATATTACTAGTACCAATAATCTGTGTTGTTTTCATGCCTGTTGCTAAGAGTGTGTTTTCTATTTGCTGTTGGTCATCACAGTGAGAGCCTTACGCACATTGTGTGTTGTCTGTATAACTAAAACATCAAGTGAATACTTACTTTTTATTATTTAATTGTGATATTAAAACCTACACTAAGTATTAACCCTCAGCACTTAAAGATTGTCTTTGGGTCAATCATAGATGAAGATTGGTTGTAAGATATAATACAGATAATTAAGTTATCACATACTCGACCATATTGTGTTGTGTAGAACACAAACTCAAGAATAATATAAAAGTAGAATGTATAGTCATGATGATAGTGTTCTTGCATAAGCATTCAATGTCATCAAGTTCAGTGCATTTAATTTAATATTATATTGTCTCACAATACACATGTACTTGTCACAATGTACAAGGTGTGAAATTCCTGTCCTCTCATTGTTCAGTTATTTAATTACAATTATGGACAATATTTTTTTGAAAAAAATTCTGGAATTAAAAACAATACGTTATAAACTTTATATATAATTTTTTTGCAAATTTGTTCATATTATTTGAATCCATGTAATAATAAGCCAGAATTTTGGCTCTGTAGTACATATATCAACAAATTTAAAACATTTTACCGAAAACACAGTTTATGGCCCTTTAAAAATAGAATCTCCAGTAATATATAATTTAGCTAATTAAATTCTAGATATTTTCAGCAAAATACTGCATTTATATTTTCTGTAGTAATTGATAAAATTATCTAAAAAAATTGATTTAATAAATTGAAGCACAACAGTGTTACTACGGTAATATAAAAACAAAGTCTTATCATTTGCACTTGCACAATAATTGATTCTTGAACACCAAAACTTGTAGGCACCGCACCAATGTACAAGCCTGCCACTAGGATGGCAATAGCTAGAAAATATAGCTCTAAACAAATGCATGAAGACAGCACAGGTGCAGATTTAAATGAAAATGACGAGGAACCGGAACTGATGAGGCTGCGTGAAAGACCACAGTCCAAGGGAGGACTAGTTCATACTTCAGGTACCAGACAATTACCTCGTGAGGGCTCAGTTAAACGGACAAGTGACAGCATCTCCACGAATCTTAGAGTGAGATCTTCATTTAAATCTGATAGTGCCATTCATAGACAAGGCAGTCAAGATACAAATGATGCTATCTATATCCCAACGGCCCCCATGGATGAGGAGGAAAAGTCGGCACTGTGCTCAGAAGATGTTCAAAAGATGAATATAGGTAAGTTCTGCGACTTAGCCAGGGTGATTAAAGATTTATTATTATTGTATTTATCATATGGTAATTTTTCAGTTACACATATACACATACATACTATTGAAGTGGCTCATTCTGCAACTGTTGACATTTTGGTGTACCTACCACCACTCATAAGGTTACATACTATTACATACTATTGCCATGCTCAAACCCTTTCAGTGCTTATACACTACATTCTGCATGACTATACTTATATAAAAGGCAATCCTGAAAAGATATAAATTAATAAACGCTGCTCGGACTGATAAATATGATATATAGTAGATAATATTTGGTAATCGTAGTCCTAAATTACTATTACAAATAATCCTGAAGCGAGTTCTTTCCAGTGAAATTCTGTATCAAATTTCAGCGCAATGAAACTAATAACAATTCTACCACCAGAGGGCGGTATGTTTAATTCATTCAATGTTTGACAAAATCACATTTAAAACGCAGGCATAAAAGATAAAACTATATGAAACAAAAATAGTTGCAGAAAGACTCCCTTATCAAGTTATTTTCTAGGCTGATTTACTTTATTCCAATTAATACTTATACATGTAATTAAATTTTTTCTCACCCAATATATTGTGAATTTAATAAATTTAAGTCTGTATCTTATCTTCATTACTGTTACTGGGCATGGCTTGCCAGCATGACTAACACATGGTGGGCATGCATTTCTATAAATATTCTGCTGGGATTGAGGTATTAATGTTAACATAATTGTAAAACTGCTATGTATATCGTTATTTAACTTCTGTTTTTCTTATAAATCATAGGATTCTTTTCTCTCTTGGGTAATTTATTTGTAAATGGTTCTGTAAGTCTGTATCTCATACTCATTGTAATTTATAGGAGATTCATGCCATAAACTATTTGTTTTGACAGTTTCAACAATTAATGATTGATAATCTAATGAAAGTGTTCAGAACAGTGGAGTTTTCATATAATACTCTGTGAACATCCTTTGACTTGATAATTACATGTACTTAGTACTTGTAGTACCTAGAATATGACAAACTCTTGAATCTTGAATTAAAATAGTTTGTCATGAATCTCTTTGAAGAATTCAGATTAATGCATGGAATACATTTATCTGATGATTTGTCTTGCATGTTTTATTGCACTTAACACCTGTATGTTAACATTTCATGGTTTGTTTTTGTATTTCATTAAAACTTGCAACTCAATAGATGACTGATGCATACGTCATTCATGCCATATGCAATCTCATTCATAGCCAATCATGCAATTAAACATCACTGCAAGGTTTAACTAATGTTTGATTTGCATTCATTTGTTTGTGTATATGGCGCCTCAATAGACCATTTTCCGTACACTGCGAGAATCACGCGTTATGCGTGAAATCGAACGTAAAAACAGGACAAACAAAGGTCATAGCATCGTAGTCGCGTCAAACATCGCGTGGGATTCGACAAACGCGAAAGTATTTCGGGGACATTTCCATGCTTAATAATGTGCTGTCCACATTTGATGATAGGCAATTTCGATTAAGTGAGGGTATTCGGAAGCAATATTCCTCTGTCGATGATCGGCCGGTCAATGTAAGCTGCGAAATAAAGAAATTCTAGTTCAAAATCAAATCGTTCGATTTTTGCGGCAGACGTTCAACGCGCGTCTTTCATGCATCTCGCGAGATCTCGCAATTGTTCGGAAAATCACCTATTGCCAGTCAGCTTTTATACATTATTATACAAAAATATTCAAGACGGCAGCCCCCATATAGTGAATATTGAGAAATTATATTTGCATTTATTATATTACCACTTGTACGCCAGTTGACTGTAGTCATGCCACACTGTAAACCAACTTCAAACATATAGTCAAGCAGAATTATCATGAGAGCCAGAAACAAATGTTCAATTGAGTTATGTGTTTTGTCAGTGAAAACAAAACATTGTACCTATTTGTTTTATACCAGGTCCATGGAGGTAACACATCACACTGCATGTGCATGTAGTTTTAGATTGGGCTTCGATTATTAAAGAATCATTCTCATATGTACTGCTGTTTTTGTGATAAATTTGTATATTATTTGATGTCAATGATTTGACAATTTTATACATTAAATTTAATCTTATACATATCTTTGATATTTAAAGAATATTATTACCATGGTCATTATTTGAACACAATCGTTGACATTCAGTGTTTGACAATATCATTTGTAGGTGAGAGACTACATGCAGGGAGACGCCCACACACTGCACATGTTACTTTCAAAGATAAACCTGAGGTAAGTCAATGTCAATACCTTGAATTATGTCTTATGTTAGAAACACACATGTATTCATTCCAAGAAGGTACCAGTATATATTCATGTTATTAGCTGAGAATCTATGCGACATTCCACTCGCTATACACAAGTCCACTAATGTACATACAATGCTAGGAAAATATTTCATTGTGGTCAGCTACTCACCCTACATGTAGATTAGATTAGTTAAAAAAAAATGTCATCAGTGTTCAATACTGCAGATTGTGTGATTATATATAACTGGTCAATGAACATCTTATCTTATTTCTCAAGATGATGAAATCCAAAGTTTGTTAAACTAGTACACTAAATTTGTTATTATTAAATCTCTATTCAGGATTTGGAAGATATTTCCAGAAAATATAGGAGTTGTCCAACGTAAGTTTCCTGTTTTTATTTGAATTTAGATGACATTCATAGTATCATCATTTTTGAATACCAGTGCTGATATTTTAAAGCTGAGGAGTTGTCATCACCTGCGCACA